AAGTAAGTAAGTAAATAAAAGCTTTATTAATGTGTCAATGTATTTAGTTTTCACAACTAATTGGGGACACAATTGGGGTGGTATATACAGCAGTCGATGGAGTTAATCTGTGTGGCTATCGCATTAAGTTAGCCCTAGTATGCTGTATCAGCGGTGCTATAATTGAGTCCACCTTGATTGAAAGATAAATATCGAAGATTACGTTATCAGTTTTCGTAAGCCGTTTTTATTCGCTCAGCTCTGAAAGAGATATTGGTTTCAACGCTGATCACTGCGTTTCGATGATCTATCTCTAATGCCATTATAATTTAAATTACTAGCTTTCTTAACTTGGTGGTCCAAATCGCATATTTCGGTTAATGTACCTTAACAGAAGCATGGTTGTATGCTTCTGATCCTAATTATCGGGAATATTGATTTTATCTACTGTTCACCAATCCAGAAAACCGTTCGTTCTCTGAGAGAACTGGATCTCGGTTTCAAACCAATACAAGAGATATATATTTTGAGCTTCTTGTCGTGTTCTGGATTAGATCACGGTATTTATTATTCGCTCTCGACGAGGTGATAGTTAATGAGGACGGATCCCGCTAAAAAAAAAACACACATACACACACACACGAAAAAAAACAAAAAACAGAAAAACTGTTTCCTAAATCAAATACTTTTAAAACCTCACGCTCCAGCAATATCCCACGTGGATTGAACTGTTGGAAACTTCCCGCTGTTTTCAGGCGCTCATAAGCTTTAATAAGTTCATTGAACAATTTTGAGGTTTTAGTCGCACAACGGTCCGATTTTCTACCGCTTAAAGCGCTCTTACGATTTGAATTAGCCAATAAGATTTCTGAATTTTCCTTTAAAATATCAAAGAAACAAGAAAACGTCACCTCGAGATCGACAACGTACCTTCACTGCACTGAATGCTGATGGATGATAGCCAGTTCGATAGCTCAGCCAATCAAATTGCAGCATTTGCATTAAGTCGAATTTCACTTATGGCTGCAGACGTTATCTGAGCTGATAGTATAGGTCAGCCAATCAGATTGTAAGATTTTCCTTAAAAATGCTATTAGAATTCCATTACGTCTGCGGCCAAAAATTGTTTATCAGTTTCACTGTTGTTTCTGCCAAGAAATTATAGAAAAAGACCCAAAACTAGCCGGGATCGCCATTGTCATCGTTATCGTAATCGTCGTCATTGTCGTCACTGTTTTCGTCGTCGTCATCCTCATCACATCGTCATAGTCCCCGTCACGTCAGTCCTTATCGTGTCCTGGGACGCATAAGGCCTTCACAGTCTCTCTCCAGCGGGAGTGGTCTTGAAAATAGCTGGGATACGAAGTGATAATTATGACGGATGGTCATTAAAATGATAATCATATGAACAAACAATTCCAAATTGGCCGACTTTTGGCAGAATTTGCATGCACTAATTGTGCTACTATTATTTTTTCAACAATGTAATACCAATTTATTCAATTATTTCTAGTGCCGACGAGACAAATTGATAGCTTGGCATTGTGTGATATCCCAGAAGACCCTTTGTTCCCTCTATGCTCCATGAAAATTAAAGTAAGTCACTTTTAATTTTTTTGATGTTCTTAGTTTACGCATACCAGATCAGAATCCATTTTACAATAAGACCGGATAGCCGACGTAGTCGAGTGTTTTCTTGCATGTCATGTCAGTATTTTACCCTTTTGCACTGTCTTGTTATTGACAATGTGATCAATATAGCTATGAGATCCCCGCGGTGTCAAGTAAGCGAAAATATGTCCTGGATAAGACACACAATAAAGGGTCCATTCCATTCAACCAAAAGTTCTGCTTTGTACTAATTTCCGGTGGCCAATAGAACATCAGTTTTTACTATTTCCGGACAACGCTTGCCTCCTTCACGGCAGCTTCCTGAGTTTTCAAGCGCTGCAAAGACCTGTCGACTGCGGGCAGTCAGGCGAAACTTTTGCACCCATTTTAACAGTTTTTTTTTTTTGTCTTATGCAGGAATTTAACAAGACGTGGGACCAAAAATGTTACGGAGATAAATATAAAGTGGATCCAAATAGCATGTGTTCTGTTATTCAGTATTTGAGCGAGGTAAGACGTAAAATTAGTTTAACCACTGCTACCATATACGCTCATTAGGTCTCGTTCACACTGGCGACCTGACGACATAACGTTATAAAAAGAACGTTACGTCGCTATGTTTGCGGTGTGAACATCCTGACTATCGTTAATGTCGTTTTGGCGCTCATGTGAACCAGGCCTTACTGAAATTTCTTGATGTTGAAGCGTCCTCTTTGAATTTGCGTACGACGAGCGGAACCCGTGGCCGTGATATTTGAAAACTGGCCGGGCTTGCGTTGTACCTATCGAGAATCAACCCAACTTAGTAAGGTACGTAATTTTGTCTTTTGTAGGTGCAAGCCTGGTGTCCTGTTTTGCCATGGCGACGACACAGAAATCCCTATAACGAGGCGACGGAGTGGAAAAAGGTAATTACTCTTACAAGAGCTGTGGTATTAATGATTCCTGTACTTTTTAAAAGTTGATCTATCGTCGACTATAATTTTCTTTACTCGTTACTTGACATTTGTTTCAATGATTGCGAGCTTTTGGTTCCATAATAAAACCTCGATGCCTCTGGTCCTGGTAGTTTAAAATAGGATTACACGATCCATCTGTGGAGACGTTGTCAAACTCGCGCCCAGGCTTTTCCCTTGTAGACGTAGGAGGATTGAGAAAACCCTGGGAACGAAGTTGCAGCGGCTGGCTACGTTTTGACAAAAAAAAGCTTCGCTATCCACTAGACAGTAAAATATCTCTGAGTAGCTTTCCATTCCTGCGTTGATAACAAAGAATGTAGTCTGTTTAAAATAGCTTTTCCGTATTTCTCTTTCATATTTTTATTTTTGAAGACAACCATTCAGACAAATCTCTCCGCACTTCTCGGCAAGTTCAAAGGCAAGAGATACGCTTGGATACGCAAACGAATCCGGGGAACCTGGCCTAATTGGCTTACAGCTATTGAAGAACTGGGACTGAGGGCGAATTTGTATGGGACGAAGAGAAAGAGGGTAACAAAAAAATCAACAACATGTACAACAACAACAATACACCTTTTGCTGTTCATTTACAGAAAATAAACATTCAGTTGTGTCCAAATTTCTTTTTTTATGGTCAATAAACTCTCATTAACACCAATATGACCTTCATTTGCGCGTAAGGAACGTTCAAGAATAACATTTACATATGCATTAACATTCAAAATC